CGTCGTCGGCATCGTCGCAGTCGTCGCCGTCGCTGCCGTGGTCGCCACCGCCGCCGCCGCGGCCGTCGTCGATGAGGCTCGGGGCGGCCCGCTGAGCACCCTGACCTTCGGGCACGGCGATGCGGCCCCAGGGCCCTCGGGCATGGCAGAGCGCTTCGTGGGACGGCCCCCCCGCCATCCTGGGGTGGACCCACGCACCATGAGTGCCGGGAGGGGAAAGACACGCAGACACAAGGAATCGCCGACTCCCTGGAGAGGATACAGCTGGGGCCTTGAACAAGGAACCCTTTTCGTTGGGGAGGGGCTCCGTGTTCCTTAATTGTTTCGCAGGTTGCCTTGGGTTGTCCTTGGGTATTCGATAAGGGGAATCGAAGTTTAACTTATGGGAAAAAGGGGCCTCGTTTCTTATTTGGGGCTACTTAGGTCAACGCCCCGACTGTACGGTGGGGGGCGTTCGTTGAGGAACGCGCCCGGGAGGCCTCAGACCCTGGAGGCTTCCGTATCTGATGAGGGCGGCGGAGGTATGCATGGCCAGTCCAGGATCGGCTTTCCGCTGGCTTCCAGACCCCGAATTCCTCATCGAAGGCTTCTTTATCCCATGCCATCACCGCATGGGAAGATACTTCTGGGAAGCGGGGGGGGGATGAAAGCTCAGAAAATAGGTGAACACAGGGGGATCCTGGGATATCTAAGTCTATTCTTCGTGCGTCCCTGGGCCCCTCCCCAGACATCCGACGTCCCGAGGTTCTCGAGACGCGGGCCCCCGTCCTCCCGACCACTTCCCCTGGACCCGCTTCTCGTCCCGGGTCGATTTTGGACGGCCCCAGGGCCCGGCGAGGGCCCCGAGAGGCCGAAACCAGCGAAAAGCCTGCGCCTCGATTCTTCTTACTAGGGGGCCACGTGCCAAACCTACCCCTACCCCCCACGATTTCTGAGAGGGAAGGCGGGGGTCCACTTCGTGCGGGAGCTCCGGGTCGAAGTGAACCCCACCCTCCCCCCCAGAACTCGTGGGGGGTAGGGGCAGGGCTCGCACGCGGCCCCCTATTATTTGTCACGACGCGCCCGCTGCCTGGGCCCCGCGCGCGGCCCCGCTCGAGCAGCCCACGCCCCCCCGCCCCGCGGCCCCGAGAGGCCGACGCCCCGCCAGGCCGCGGCCCGAGGCCTCGACCTTTGCCACGACGCGCCCGACGGGAGGGAGGAGGCGGCGGCGGCGTCTAATGCCGAGGGGAGGTCAACAGGGAGGGGAAGGAGGAGGAGGAGGAGGAGGAGGAGGAGGAGGAGGAGGAGGAGAGGAGGGAGGAGGAGGAGGAGGAGGAGGAGGAGGAGGAGGGGGAGGGGGAGGAGGAGCGCGAGGAGGAGGAGGAGGAGGGAGGAGGAGGAGGAGGAGGAGGAGGAGGGGGAGGGAGGAGGAGGCCCGCACCGGGTCCAGCGCGAGCAGTCTGCGCCCCCTCCCCCGGGCCGGCGCCCGCGCTCTGAGCGCGCGCGCCCCGCGGCCGCGCGCCCGTGATGGGCCTCGCCCCCCCGCTGGGGGCGGGGCCTCCTCGCTGCGGCCCCGCGGCCGCCCCGCCGTCGATCGTCGCGCCCGCCCCGCCCCGCGCCGCCTCGGCCGCCCGGCGCCCCGGCCGCGGGGCGATCTCCTCCGGGGGCTGCGTCGATGCACGCGCAGACCCGGAGATCGATAACGCAGTGAAAAATGAGGGGCCACGTGCGAGCCCTGCCCCTACCCCCCACGATCTCTGAGGGGGAGGGTGGGTGGGGTTCGCTCCGCTCGGGAGCTCCCGGATCGGAGTGGAACCCACCCTCCCCCTCAGAACTCGTGGGGGGTAGGGGTAGGGTTCGCACGTGGCCCCTAAAAAATCAAGAGGGATGTTTTTGGCTTTTTTGGGCCCCCCGGAGCCCTCGCCGGGCCCCGGGGCCGTCAAAAAACGATTCGGGACGAAAAACCGGTCCCAGGAAGAGGGTCGGGACTTCCGGAGACCCCGTATGGAATAAATCACAACGTCGGATCTCTGGGGAGGGGGGGATGGGGGAGGGGGGAAGGCTTCTTAGAAGCACCCCCTCTTCTCTTCGAGAAGGAGCGGGCGCCCCCTCTCAGAACCTTGTGGTTGCTTCTCAGAAGCTGTCCCTGGCGTGCTTCTGAGAAGCAGGTTCTGTGCTTCTAAGAAGCTGCGAGGGTGATTCTAAGAAGCGGCGCGCCCCTGGCTTCTTTGAAGGGCGGCTGGCGCATTCTAAGAGGCAGCCGCCTTCTAAGGAGCCTTCCCCCTCCCCCTACTCCCTTGTTCGCGCCGACAAGTTGCGTCGGGCACGTCCCTCGACAGGAGGAAAGTTCAAAAATAGTCCCCCCCCCGAAAAAAACTCAGGGGGCGATGGTTCGACCCTATTTTTTTGATGGTGCTTGCTTGAGGATTTGGGAATCTTTGTCGGTTGTCTTCCAAAATCCGCCTAGTAGGGGGACATGCCCGACCTAACTCCAGGGAGCTCCAGACATCGGGCGCCTCGAAAACGTCGAGGCGGAGATTTTGTGCCGTGCTCGGCCCCTCGGGGCCCTCGCCGGGCCGCGGGACCGTCGGGCAAGCGGCTCGGGACGAGGCACTGGTCCCGGGGAAGTGGTCGGACGTCGAGGGCCCGAGGGTCTCGGCAAACACATCGAGGCGTCGGCTGCCCTGGCGCAACGGCCCCCTAGACATCCAGGCTTGTCCAATTTTGTCCTCCTCCTCCTCCTCCTCCTCCTCCTCCTCCTTCCTCCTCCTACTCCTCCTACTTCTCCTCCTCCTCCTCCTCCTCCTCCTCCTCCTCCCCCCCCTCCTCCTCCTCCTCCCCCTCCTCCTCCTCCTCCTACTCCTCCTCCTCCTCCTCCTTTGTTCGATGCGTGGGCCTCAGAGGTCTGGACCACTTCCCTTAGGGCCGGGTTTTCGCTCTGAGCCGGCAGCGGGAGCTGTCGGCAGCGAAAGCTGTCGGCAAAGCGTTGGAGGAGGAGCCCTGCACACCCGCGAAGCTTACCCTCTGCCAGGGCTCTCGCCGATTTTTCATTCTGCGACAATCTTGCCCCGACCATTTTCAAGCGCCTGGGAGAATGGGCGAAGGGACAATTGCAGGAATGTGCTGGCCGATGCCTCGAGAGTGTCTAGCCAACTTCCTCAAGCATAGAGCGCGGTGGGGGGGGCATACCGACTGCCCATGCAAATTGGGGTATCCTGATGCTGCTGATGCGCAGCGGCACGACATGTCCTGTCCGACCCTGCGGGAAGCGATTCGCTCCGTCTGGCAGCCGCAGGTTCCCAATAATCTGTTCCTGGACCGTCGGCTAGGCCTTGCTAGGGCCATGTCGTTCCCGAACGGCTCCTGGCGGTCCAGGGGGTGGTTTTGAGTTCTTACCTTGACAATTCGGTCCGAGGGTCTCCAAGAATCGAGCACAACGATATGTAAATGTTTGCCAGAGCTGCCCGATATCAGGTTTAACAGCAAGCTGACGTCGAGGAGGAGACATCCCGAACGGACCTGGCCCGCGCTGCATGCGAGGACGGGGAGGAGGAGAAGGAGAAGAAGGAGAAGAAGGAGGAAGAGGAGGAAGAGGAGGAGGTGCAAGAGGAGGGATTCCAGAGTATGCCCAAGGTGTATCAACGATGTTGCTATACGCCCTCGTATCCCAAGGCCCCTCCTCGTGTCCCTGCGAGCCATCCTTCTCTCATTGCAAGGAGTGCCCCTTTGGAAGACCAGTGCGCCGTGGGCCTGCCATTCGGCGATCGCCCCGTGCTGAAGAGGACCTGCCTCGCAGCTCTCCGGCGAGTTGGGAGGACTGCGGGCAGCTTCGATCGTCGCACAGCTCCGCGAGGTGTCCCGCGATGTGCCCCCTTTTGAGGAAGAGCCGCCCCAGCGGCGCGTCCGGTGCACGAGTGTCTCGCTGCTGGCCGTGCATGTCGAGAGAGAGAGCCTCAGGCGAACATCTGGAAGAGGGTAGCCCCTTCACCCGTGCAGCTCGAGGCAGGCTTGGATCCTCGAGGAGGGCAGCGCGGAGGAGGAGGAGTAGGAGGAGGAGGAGGAGGAGGAGGAGGAGGAGGAGGAGGAGGAGGAGGAGGGGAGGGGAGAGGAGAAGGAGGAGGAAGGAGGAGGAGGAGGAGGAGGAGGAGGAGGAGGGAGGAGGAGGAGGAGGAGGAGGAGGAGGAGGTCGGGAGGAGGAGAAGGAGGAGGAGGAGAAGAAGGAGCACGAGGAGCAGGAGCAGGAGGATGTGCACGAGCACGAGGAGATGCCAGAGGGGGGAATGCCACCCAGGATTTCTGGCGGCAGTCTCTGTCGTGTGACGAGGGCTCCCCCCGACCTCTCGACCCCTTCCCCTGGGCAGCTGTGTTATCCCGAGCAGCTTCTGTTCTGCCCTGGGCGTCGAAACGGGACCCCGGAAGACCGAGACGGCGCAACCCTGGCGGCTCGAGCCCGCTCGGGCCGCCGGACGCCTGCGCCCCTGGAGGCCTCCAGAGGCACCCCTGGAGCTCTCCCTGCATGGGGCGCACCAGGAGGCCCCCCCGGGAGGCCTTTGGAGGTCCCGGTGGTCCGACCAAGGCATCGATCTGCGATCCTCGAGGGAGCGCTCCATCTCCGTTCCCCCCGCAGAGCATTCGGAGAGCCCGATCCGCGATCCTCGGCCTTCGCCGCCGCCTCTGCCCCTCCGTTGCGCGCCTCGATGCTCGACCCCCAGATCATAG